GGAGTAGCTGCTGTCCCAACTGCATGAACTAACTCTCTCTCTCTTTCTCCCCCCCCCCCCCCCCCCGTGGCCCAGGAATCGCCACGGCTCCGAACCCCGCCTTCCCGTGGGGCACCTTCCTCCAGCGCGCAGGTGAGGGGCCTGGCAGGGCGGGCGGCCTCGCACTTCTAGGAAGGCGGCTGTGGGGTCACAGAGGCTCCGGGTCCAGGTGGGCAGGGGGGTGGCGGGGGGGGGACAGGAATGGCCAGAGGCCGGAGGAGGAGGGATGTGGCTCTGCCCGATCTCAGCGCCGCCTCCTGGTGAGCAGAGCCACTGGCCGAGGGAGGAGGCGCCCTGTCCACTGAGCCACACTGGCCGGGGCTGTGCCTGCATCTCTGAGGAAGCCTGCAGACGCCTCTGCTTCACCCTGAAATGTTTCTCTGGGGGTGACCAGGCAGGGCTACTGTTGTGGGAGGGGGAAGAGGAGGGGGATGGGAGGGGGAGGGGGAAGGGGAGTGGGAATTGCAGTCCGGCCTTGAACTTCAGAGAAGAGACGGAAAATGCAAAATCCGGCAGCAGACAGGAGGTCACCCCAGCCTGTTTTTGCTCCAAAACCCGAGGGCACCCCAGCCTGTGTTCACCCCACACATGTCACTCCAGGCCTCAGGCAAGCACCGTGTGTCAGCGTTCGGCTCCTTTGAAAAGAAAAAAACGTGAGGCGTTTGATGAGAAGTAATTTCCCAGGTGCCCTCATCCATCTCAGCCGGCGCGCGGGCCTCAGCGTCACGGGGGTCGCCCCCCACCCCCCTCAGCGCCGGGCTTACACGGCTTACACGGCTTACACGGCTTACACGGCCCGGCGCGCGCTCACTCCATCTTCCGTGCGTCACCGCGCGGGGCCTGGGGCTGGGATCCATCTCGGGGTCTGTCATCCAGGCCGGCCTCTCTCGGGCTCACAGGGAGTGACTGATGGGGCAGCCGGAGATTTAAAACACTCTCAGGAGACCTTCCCGGGACCTGCCGGCTGCCCTTTTAAACTATGTATATGGATGTCAGAGAGGAACGGAGAGGGAGAGAGAGAAACATCCATGATGAGAGAGAGTCATAGACTGGCTGCCTCCTGCACGCCCCCCACTGGGGATCCAGCCCACAACCCGGGCCTGTGCCCTGACGGGGAATCAAACTGTGACCTCCTGGTTCATAGGTCAATGCTCAACCCCTGAGCCACACCGGCCGGCCTGGCTGTGAGTGAATATTGTAAACATCTGCAGAGTATACGGGCGCAGGGAGGGGGCGCGACTGCGGTTGTTGCCGGGGTCAGAGGATGGCTTTAGGGTGAGATGTTCTAGAGGAATCGGCGTCTCTGGGTTTTAGGATCAGGTGTCTGCTCTCATCCATGTGGTTGTCTGTCGCCCCAACTGCCCACCCCCACCCCCGACTTCCCTGCCCCCCCCCCCCCCGCCGCCCTCAGAGCCAGCGTTTGCCACATGTGACGTCCCCGTGAGCTTCCCACGCGGACACGGATTCCCCGAACTCTTGTCTTGCAGACCTTCCCCAAAGCGCCGATAACTTGCACGTGTTCCTCCTGATATGCGGACTCCGGCCGGTCAAAGACCCCCTCTACCTGGTGGACGCCTTCTCGGGTACGGCGGCTGAGGGACCTGCGTGCGAATTCCTGTGGGGTTTGGGTCTTCCCGGCTCATCCTCTGCACAGTCAGCAAAACCGCTTCCGGCCGCTCCTGTGGAAAAACCAGAAAAACAGTCGCGCTTGTGGGAACTGTCCTTGCTTCTTCCCTCGTTCTCTGCCCCTGGCTCCCTAGGAAGCATGGGAGGTAGCGGAGCCCGGCCGCCCGGCTCAGGGGGTGTGTCGACCTATGAACCCGGAGGTCAGGGTTCCATTCCCGGTCAGGGCACAGGCCGGGTTGCAGGCTCCATCCCCAGTGTGGGGCGTGCAGGAGGCAGCCGGTCCATGATTCTCATCTTTGATGTTCCTAGCTCTCTCTCCCTTCCTCTCTGAAATCCATATGAAAATATATATTAAAAGAGACAGCCGAGAGTTACGAGGCTAAACTGACGTTACGGGGAGTGCTCCAGGCAGGTCGCTGGTGCGAGGGGCTGGGAGTTCTGCTGCTCACGGTAACCTGTGCTCTGAGCTTGGGGGCATGCTGCTTCTGGTTACCTAACGCGTTAGGTGTCCGGCTAAGGCGCAGTGCTCCAGGACAATAATATTTACCTAAAAGCAAGAGATGCCAGCATGTTTACCGCTTACAGCCACCGCACTTAGACGGACTGCGGGGAGGGAAGCCCGAAGACGGAACGGTTCCTGTAGAAGCTCCTGTTCGCTGGGACTTGTAACCACTTTTAAGGTGTCTTTCTCCCCTTTTCTCCCCAGAATGGCACCGGGAGGAGCCCAGCGCGTTCCTGGTGATCGTCGGCCCCGAAGTGAGTAGACCCCTGTGAGCACCTGCCCGACGCCCCTGCGGCCTGTGCTCTAGGGTTCTTCTAAAACGAGTCCCCGTTACGGCCCTAACTAAGTGATTTTGTCCTTTTTGAGTAAGTAAACTCTGTTTGCCTTTTTTTTTTTTTTTTTTAATCCTCACCCAAGGATATGCTTTTATTGATTTTTGAGAGAAAGAGAGAGAGAGAGATCGGCTGCCTCCTGCATGCGCCCTGACCGGGAATCGAACCCGCCACCTTTTGGTGAGGGGAACAACGCTCCCACCAATGGAGCCACCCGGCCAGGGCAAGTGTGTTTGCCTTTTGGAAAATGAAAACTAGCCCCGGCTGGTGTGGCTCAGTGGTTGAGGGTCGGCCTGCGGACTGAGTGGTCCCGGGTTCGATTCCGGTCCAGGGCATGTACCTGGGTTGCAGGCTCCTCCTCGGCCTGGGCCCTGGCGGAGTGCGTACAGGAGGCAACCCATCCATGTGTTTCTCTCACCTCGATGTTTCTCTCTGTGTTTCCCTCTCCCTTCCACTCGCTGTAAACATCAATGGGAAATACCCTCAGGTGAGGATTAAAAGAAAACGAAAAATAAGTGGAAACTAGACCCCAGCTGCAGAGTGAGAGGCTTGATGCAGCTTTAGGGGAATTTTTGCTACAAAGCGTGAGGGACACATAGTCACGGAACCCGGGGCGGCCGCAGGGAGAGAGTCACGCAAAGCAGAGGGTTTGTGTGTCGCACAGAAGCCGCCCTGTGCTGGCCCAGGTTGCCTGGGAAACCCCCAACCCGCTCCGCAGACAAGCCCAGGGCGGTGACTCCGGGCCCTCAGGGGCCACACTGCACAGAGGGGCTCACCTGGCAGGCAGGTGTTAGGCCCGACTGTGGCTGTTGCCCGGAGAACGGAGTTGGGGGCGCCTGGAGGTCCCTCTGCTCCGGGTTCAGGAGAGCCACGCGGCCACCCGGCAGCCTCATGCGCGCAAACCTCGGTTTATGCCCAGGCGATGGGGAGTCACAGGGCAGTGAGGCCTCCCTGTCCTCCTGGGGTGTCTGTCTCAGACTTGCACATGCACCCCAACGTCCTCTCCTCAAGCAGGGAGCGTTGAGGATGCGCAGGCTGCGAGCGGGAATGACCCTGCGCTGACCCTCAGGGCACCAACGGGAGGCAGCGGGGTCCTCGCAGCTCAGGGTCTCGCCGGTTCTGTAATTTTTCCTTCTGTGGGTTTTCTGGTTCCCGCGGGACCCACAAAGCATGCAGAGTGTGTGTGGTGGGGAGGGGGGTCCCTATGCTTGGCTCAGTGTTGTACAGACCCTGGAAATGGTAGGTTTACCCAGGAAAAGGCCGCCTACCCTCCCCAAGGTATCAAGGCCGCTGCACGAGACCGAAGCGCCCCTCAACCTCTGTCGTTTGTTTAGTGTAAAGCACATACACACACACACACACACACACACGTGCGCGCATACACATAGACACACACGCACACACGCGCGCACACACATGCACACGCACACACATGCACATACACACACGCGCGCACACACACACACACACACGAAGCTTCTGGAAAACAGTGGCTTCGTGATAAACTACAGGGATAGCGCCATGTACACCCCCCTGGCTGGGCAGGTTGTCATTTGGAGCCCCGCTGGCAGGTGTGAGTGAGACAGGAACTGCCTCTGCCTCCCCCCGCCCCCCAGCTCCCCCCCTCCCCAGCTCCCACCGCCCCCCAGCTCCCGCCTGCCCCCAGCTCCTCCCGCGCCCCCCAACTCCCCCGGCCCCCCAGCTCCTCCCCTGCCCCCCAGCTTCTCCCCTGCCCCCCAGCTTCTCCCCTGCCCCCCAGCTCCTCCCCCGCCCCCCAGCTCCTCCCCCGGCGTAACAGGAAGCCAACGTGTTGGTCACAAGGTCTCACACTTGGTGTTACACCTGCGCAGACCAAGGGGCATGTTGTCAGTTCTCGTTAAATTCCATTCACTGTTAATAACACGGGGGGGGGGGGGCGGGGGGTGCGGCAACACCAGCCTCTGGGTGATACGCGCGCGGGGCAGCCCCACACTGAGCGCCCCCTGGTTCCCCCCGAAGGTGGCCGCGCCCGGGCTCCAGGCTCGGACCCCACAGCCCACGGGGGAGTGTTTCTCCGGGGTCTCCCCTCAAACCACCCCGCCCCGTTATTTGCGCGGCATGGCCCACCGGGGTCTCCTCTGTCGGCTCTGCTGTCCTCGCTGTCGCTGTCCAGGGCGGCGCTCGTTCACGCCTGTCTCGTCTCTGCAGGTGGACCCGGTGTTCACGCGGGAAGTCAAGGCCAAGGTGGAGAGGTGAGCATCGGGGGAGCAGGGGTTTAGCGGGAGGGGAACCCCAGTGGCCCCCACGTCTCCGCGGCAACGAGTCCCGGGCTCTGCTCCCGGCATTTACACGGGACTCCTCCTCCCACCCCCCGGCCGGTCCTGCGGGACCCGACACCGTGACTTCCCGCGTACCAGCCCGGAAACGCGGCCCGCAGCGTCCGCCGCTCCCGGGAACGGGCCAGGGTCCGGGGACCGTCTCTCCCCTCCGGGTCACCCGTTAGGTGATTTCCTCAGGGACCCCCCCCCCCGTTTCTGCCCCACTTACTGGCCACCCCTGACTGGTCAGCAGCAGGGACTGGGAGATTCTGACGTGTCCCCGCATACGGTCAGGTCTCTGTGTGGCTCACGGATACAGGTGCAGGTACATGAGAGCCTGACCGACTCTGTGAACGGACACGGATCAAATCACGGCCGTGGTGGGAAGCGGGGGGGACGGCCGTGAGTCTGTTCTTGAGCGAAAACAAACAAAAACAGAAAAACTGCCCGGCCGGCGGGACTCGGGGGTTGAGCGTCGACCTAGGAACCAGGAGGTCACGGTTGGCTTCAGTCAAGGGCACAGGCCGGGTTGTGGGCTCATCCCCAGTGGGGGGCGCGCAGCAGGCGGCCGGTCCATGATTCTCCCTCATCATGGATGTCTCTCTCTCCCTCTCCCTTCCTCTCTGACATCAGTAAATGTGTATATTTTTAAAGGTCAAACCCACAGGACTAAATACTGTCAACTCCGGGGCGGGAAGGCGGGCATTGCTTGCGTTCTCCTACTTTAGTGTCTGATTCTCTCTGTTCACCTGTTATGTCGCCACCAGGAGGGTGGGAGGAGGTGGCATTAATATTGGAAAAGCGTCGTTTTCTCAGTCCTCAGGCAGAACGGCAGAGCCTTATCTCGGACTCGCAGTGTCCGGGAAGCGCGTGTCTCGTGTGTTAAATGCATTCGAAACGCCCACCGACGAGCTGGCGGCCGTGTCTCCCCGCCCCACCCCTCCCGGGGACCCACTGGAGACATGCCTCCCACTCCCAGTCCGTCGTGTGTTGCAGGTCGGCGGGGGTGCGGCTGCTCCCCGAGATGCCCCAGGGCGACCTGCACGCGGCCGAGAAGAACTGCCTCGCCCTGGTCAACAGCTCGCTCTCCGAGGGCATGTCGGCGGCCATTCTGGAGGTAACGGCTCTCAGGCCCTCGCTCCCCTCCTCGTGCCAGGCGCCATCTTCCTCACGTTTCCAGCTTGAAAAATGCAGTTGCATTTCCCCAGGAGCTCAGTGCAGACAATACCGATGTATTTATTCATTTATTTTATTTTCTTACTAGAGGCCCGGTGCACAAAATTCATGCACGGGTGTGTGTGTGTGTGTGTGTGTGTGTGTGTGTCCCTCAGCCAAGCCTGCACCCTCTCCAATCTGGGCTGGCTCCCAAACGCTTGCCTGCCTGCCTGCCTGCCTGATTGCCCTTAACTGCTTCTGCCTGCCAGCCTGATCACCCCCTAAGCACTCCCCTGCCAACCTGATCAATGTCTAACTGCTCCACTGCCAGCCTGATTGCCCCTAACTGCCCTCCCCTGCAGGCCTGGTTCCTCCCAACTGCCCTCTCATGAGGCCTGGGTCCCCCCCCCTCAACTTCCCTCCCCTGCAGGCCTGGTTACCCCCAACTGCCCTCCCCTGCAGGCCATCTTGTGGCCACATGGGGGTGGCCATCTTGTGTGTTGGAGTGATGGTCAATTTGCATACTGATTGTGACTAATTAGCATATCTGGGCTAATTAGCATATCCCTCTTATTATATAGGATATATATATATATATATATTTTTAATTGATTTCAGAGAGGAAGGGAGAGGGAGAGAGAAAAACATCAATGATGAGAGAGAATCCTGGATCAGCTGCCTCCCGCATGCCCCCACTGGGGATCGAGCCTGCAACCCAGGCAGGTGCCCTAATGGGGAATCAAACCCTTCAGTCCTCCGGTCATCGCTCTAAGCACTGAGCCAAGCAGCCAGGGCTGGGCACAGCTGCTCTTAAAACGCCCACCACCGCCTCCTCTTCCGCCCGCAGGCCATGGACCTGGAGGTGCCGGTGCTGGCCAGGAACATCCCGGGGAACGCGGCCGTGGTCCAGCACGGGGTCACGGGGCTGCTGTTCTCCGACCCTCAGGTAGCGGGGTCCTTCCCGGGTCCGCGGGTCGGGATGGTTTGCCTGTGCATTTGTCTCAGCATCTTGCATGTTTTCATCAGCGCTCAGCGCCCCGTCATGGTCAGGGCGGCCCTACACACAGCGGGCTCTGCTTTGACCACAGGGGCCCCCTGGACGCCCCTCTAGATACAACATGGGGGCGTGTGGGAAACGGGGGGATGGAGGGCCCCTGGGGGTCCTGTCCCTGGAGCAGTGTGGCCCGAGCCAGGCCCTTCTCCTCCCCAGGCCCGGGGTGCCCATTGCTCACCCAGCTCCTGGTGTTGGGTGGATGGCCACTCAGCTGGGCCAGCGTGTGTGAAGGAAACTGGAAGCCAGTTCGCATCTATTCCCGTGTTTGTGTGAACGGCCGTCCCTCCTGCAGGCCGTTCTCCCGGACGAAGGGGGGGCGGACGCAGACCTGGGCTTGGGGCGCCTGGGCAACCCCTTGGCCGGTGACCCTGTTCCTCTCCGCTTCCTCCCCGAAGGAGTTCGTGCAGCTGGCGAGGCGGCTGGTCCGCGACCCTGAGCTGGGGGCCGAGCTGGTGGCCCAGGGGAGGGAGTACGTGAGGACGCGCCACTCCTGGCAGGCGGAGCGGGACACCTACCAGCGCCTCGTCCGGACGCTCGAGGGGGACGCGGCTCGGCCGGCCCGCTGACAGGCGCCCCCGCTTTTAACGCGTCTGACGGGCACCCGGGTCAAGGCCCCGTGTCCGGGCATCGAGAGGCGAGGAAGGGCCGGCTGAGCCTGGAAGGAGGAGACGCGTGGCCGATGCAGATGCCGCTGGTTCTGAAATTCCGCTCCGGGAAGCCGGGCGCTGTCCCTGGTCCTGACCTCCCGGTGCGCGGCTCCTGGTACCTCACGTCCCTGACCTCCGCCTTCACATCCACACGCACCCAGGCCTCGTGTGCGGGGGAAGAGCATGTTTTTAAGAGAATAAAGTGCGTCCCAGCCGCCTTCTAAGCCCCTCTCTCTGTTCTTAATAAGCAAGTAAGGCCCCGCCCACTGCCGGGACCACGCCCCCCCCCCCCCCCCCCCCAGGGTTTGAAAAGGGGAGGCGGACACCGGAGCATCTAATGCAGAGAGGGTTCAACACAGCCACTAGTTCAAGGCCCAAGGAGAGGTGTAAACAAATGCCTTTCTCTCTTTTTTCCTAATTTATTGACTTCAGAGGGGAAGGGAGAGGGAGAGAGAGAGGAACATCCATGATGAGAGAGAGTCATGGACCGGCCGCCTCCTGCAAGCCCCACACTGGGGATGGAGCCCGCAACCCGGGCCTGTGCCCTGACCGGGAATCGAACCGGGACCTCCTGGCTCATAGGTCGAGGCTCAACCACTGGGCCACGCCGGCCGGGCTAATGTTTAAGGTGACGGTTCTATGGCCCGTGAATGATGTTATACATGTCCACATGGCCCTGCCTTAGACTGACGGTCAAGGTTGCCTGGGACGTGGGGACCGCTGTCTGTCACGTGGATAAAAGCGGGCGCCCACCCCGCGCCGGCAGCGGCTCTCCCCGGAGAAGCCATCTGCCTCCAGCAACAAACAACACGACGAACCGTCAAACAGTGTCTCTTTCATCCCGGGAACAACAGCTTAATTGCCGGAGCCGTTTAGTCACCAGCCGCAGTGGCGCATTCGCTAATGAAATGTTTCACGCCGCTTGGCTCCTGTGCGCCCCCGCCCCCCGATCTATAAATCCAGGGACGTCATTTCTGGTCCTTTCAGAGGAGGCTGCCTGCCCCTCCGTGCGGCGCATTATCTGCGCGAAGCAGGCGCCGGCCCAGGAGGACACGGCCGCCCCCACCCCCACCCCCACCCCCATCCCATCTCCCTCATCCTCCCACCCCCCGCGCCGGTGAATGAAGGAGCCGCAAAGGCTTTGCTGGAATGAGGGACGTGGTTGATGCTGATGCTCGTCTCTGGGCTTCTCTCCGCAGCAGCCACCCTAGTGCGGCCGCCCCACCAGGCCAGGCCATTAGGGCGCAGGACCGGGTCTGGAGGTGCCGCTGTAACCAATCACCCCGGAACCAGCAGGCGGCCCCAGTGGCCGTAGTTAATTGCAGTCCTTCTGTGCGTCCAGGAACTGGGAGAAATGGGGGAGGCGGGAGCGGAGGAAGCATAGCCACCCTCTGGAGTCGGATCTTTGCTTAGATCTCATCAGCCAGCGGAGAGCGGGCTCTGGGGTTGTAACTCCCGTGGCTCTGCGGATGGGTGGCCCGTGGGGACTGTGGCTGTGGGGATGGCGTGGCTCAGAAGAAGTTAGGGGCTCCCCTGCGGTCGGCTCTTGTCATTTCGTGGCCGTCCAACCTGTGACGCTTTTTTGGTGTTTACGGAAGCCCTCGGGTGTCTAGGGAAGCCCTCGGGTGTCTAGGGAAACCCTCGGGTGTCTACGGAAGTCCTCAGGTGTCTAGGGAAGCCCTCGGGTGTCTAGGGAAGTCCTCGGGTGTCTATGGAAGCCCGCGGGTGTCTAGGGAAGCCCTCGGGTGTCTGGGGAAGCCCTCGGGTGTCTGGGGAAACCCTCGGGTGTCTAGGGAAACCCTCGGGTGTCTAGGGAAGCCCTCGGGTGTCTGGGGAAGCCCTCGGGTGTCTACGGAAGCCCTCGGGTGTCTAGGGAAACCCTCGGGTGTCTACGGAAGCCCGCGGGTGTCTAGGGAAGCCCTCGGGTGTCTGGGGAAGCCCTCGGGTGTCTAGGGAAGTCCTCGGGTGTCTGGGGAAGCCCTCGGGTGTCTGGGGAAGCCCTGGGGTATTGAGTCTCTGCTGCGGAAGGGGAGTGAGATGCTCTCTCTCACCGCTAGGGGGCAGCACGTGGCTGGGCTTGGTCAACGGGATTTTTGGTCCAGCATTTTGAACCTCTGGCCCCTGTGGCAGGGCCGTGGGTGGCTGTGTTGCCTTTGCCGTGGCAGCTCCTTGCCCAGCCTCTCCCGCAACCATGGATCTCAGAGCTCCTCGTGTCTTCCCGAGAGCGGGTCCCTCTCGGCTGCTCGTGTCCAACAAGCTTCCTAGAAGAGGACACCATTGGTTGTGCCTGGGGGAAAGGGGCGAGGCGTTCAGTCCACCCCCTGCCTAAACGACAGGCTAACCTGGGGTCACCCGTGGGCGACGGGGAAGCGGACTTGCTCTCAGGGGCAGTGTTCGGAGAGGATGCAGTGGGAATCCCCCTGGGAGCCCCCAAATTCAGCCGTCGCCCCCAAATCCATCGCTTTCTTGTGGCCCCGTAGGAAGAGACGTCCCGGACAGGCGGGCAGAGCGTGTGTCACGACTGAGAGCTGCACCACATGGTCTGGGAAAGGCAGGCATCAGCACGCCCGGCTCTGATCCTAAACGCTTGGGTGCTCTACCCTCTCTCTGCTCCAGTGTCTGATCTGTAACGAGGGACTGACATGCGTTAACGCTGCAGTATGGGGACTGATGATACATTGTGTCTATTCACTAAGGGATACAAACTGACAGCGACGCCCGGACAGGGCTCATTGCCGGCTCCCTTCCTCTGTGGACCACACAGCAAAATGCCTCAGAGTTGCTCAAAACGGCACCTGAGGCTGCACCTCTGCGGCCGGCAGCCGGCGTGGGTCTCCGCAGCTGCATCCCGCCCAGCGGCTCCCACGTGCCCAGGGCCAGGAGTGCAGAGCCGAGGGCTGCATCCGGTCTCCAGGGCTGAGGGCTCGGTGAGCAGAGCCGGAGGCCCAGCCCGCAGGCCGCTGAGTCCTCTCGGAAGATTCCTTGCCTGGAGCTGACCTTGGGCGGCCGCGCAGCCGACACAGAGGGTGCCAAACGCTAGGAGGACGGCTATCGATCAGGTCTGGAGGGAGGCGGCGGCAGAGTCGTAAACGCTTATTAATGGCCTGAGATGGGACGGATGCTGGGTTTCTGGCAGGAAGATAAGGGTGCGGAGGGAGTTAAAGAATCAGAATCTACAGCCTTTGTCCCGGACTGCTGGCTGCCCAACCGGCTGTGGGTCAGAATCAAGGGGGCTGGGGGAGGGAGCTTTTATTGCTATTTTTTTAAAATATATTTTTATTGATTTCAGAGAGGACGGGAGAGGGAGAGAGAGAAACATCCATGATGAGGGAGAATCATGGACCGGCTGCCTCCTGCAGGCCCCCCACTGGGGATGGAGCCCACAACCCGGGCAGGTGCCCTGAATGGGAATCGAACCGTGACCTCCTGGTTCCTAGATCGAGGCTCAACCGCTGAGCTCGTGGGCCCGCCCCTTTGACTTTGGGGCCTGGAGACTACAGGCTCTGAGGGCCCAGGGCCTCTGGTGTCCTGCCTCCTGCTGCGGTTACAGGGCTGCGGTTACAGAGGGGCGCACAGGGGTGGAGCTCGCTGCGGGGGGGTGGAGGGGGCAGGAGGCAGGTTGCGCTCAGTGCGGGTCTACATATTGGCACGTGCGCCTCAGGCTACGTGTCCGTCCATTGCCCGGGAGCGGGAGGGGAATTTCAATCGCTATATTGACCGTGTCCGCTATTGGACGGCGGCGAGGCGCCTGGGACTTGTTTCCAAAGCCCGCGGGGTGTTCAGATGCGGCGAGCGCCGGGAGGAGAGGAAGCCGCCTGTGCTGGGAGCGCCCACCTGGCGGGGATGCTGGGACGGCCTCTTCCCCTCCCACCCCCCACCCCCCACCCCCGCGCATCCCCCGAGCCACCTCCCCAAGGAGCCGGAGGGTCACCGCAGGTCACCCCGCTGCTCTGCCTCCAGGGAGCCCCTCTCCTGCCTGTGGAGGGGCGCTGAGGCCGAAGGGGTGGTCAGGGCTTGCGGGGACGCTGGCGGATCTGTCCTGCTCTCTCTCTCTCTCTCTCTCTCTCTCTGCCTGCATTTGGGACGTTCAGGGATAGGGTTCGTGCCCATGGCCAGGTGTCCTACAGTTTCGAGCTGGTTACATGGTGTGACGAGGGGGGCCCTCGCTGGCAGCCCAGCACCTGGCCGGTCCCCTTGTAGGTTTATTGTTGTTGTTGTTGCGGGAGAGACACAGAGAGACACGTGGATGTGAGAGAGACAGATGACTGGTTGCCTCCTCATGTGCAGGATCAAACCTGCAACCCAGGTCAGTGCCCTTGGCCAGACTCGAACCCGGGACCCTTCAGGCCGCGGGCCGATGCGCTATCCACTGAGCAACCTCGGCTAGGGTCCCCTTGTAAGTTTAGCTCCCTGGGGACTTCACCCAGAGGCCACCCCCGGTCCTGGGGTTCCCCGCGCCCCCAGATCCTCATGCCAAGGCCCAGCCCAGCTCAGGGTGAGGCCTCATTGGAAACGGGGCCTTCTCAGGTGCAACCCGTTAAGATGGAGCCGCACCGGCCCGCGCCCGTGGTGCCGGTGCTCATAAGCGAGGGGGGATTTGGACACAGACACACGCACGCGGCGTGGGAAACCCCGTGGAGGCAGAGGTGGGGGTGGAGTCGCCCTCGCAGCCCGCGGGGAGCCAGCCCTGCCCGCTCGGACCCGGACTTGCAGCCTCCGAGGGCGGATTTCTGTGGCCCAAACCCCAGCACGTGGGCCTGGGTCAGGCGCCCGGGAAAGCGATGCAGGTGGCCCGGGTGTGGGCAGCTCAGGGCCAGGAGGGGCCGCGAGAAGCCGGGGCCGCCACTGGGGGGCGCTGACGGCCGGCTTCCCGCGGGCTGGGGGACTGGTCCCGGGTCACAGGTGCGCACCCCCCCCCCCCCCGCAGGAGGGCCCGCAGGTGGCAGCAGTGAGGAGCCGAGGCAGGTGCGAGAGAAGCAGCTGCTGCGCTGGCTTTATTCGCAGGGACAGGCGCCCGGTTGGAAGAATCGCCGCTGGTTCAGCCTCTGCCGACTTTCCCTCCCCTCTGGGCACGGGTCACAGGCCGGCCGCGAGTTCCCCCGACACCGGCAGGGGTGTCCCCCTCCACACTCAGCGACAGACGCGTCCCTCGCTGTCCTGGGAACATAGCCCCCCTCCGTCTGTCTGTCCCCCAACTTCCGGGGAGAGACGTGTCCAGGAGAATTATTTCCCTATTTTAAGAAAAGGGGAGGAGTTTGCGCTCTGGTGTGGGGGACAATCTGGGTGTCCTGCCTGGAGGTGACGGCAGCAAACCCACCGGATTCTGTCAGGGATGCTCAGGTGTGAGCGCCATTTTGTCAGAGTGTCTGAACTTTTAAGAGGCTCAAACTCCAGATTTTTTCCTCTTTTCTGTGTGTGTGAAATGGGCAAAGTGCCAGCTATTGACTTGTCCTTTATAGCATTCACAGCGACCCGAAAGTGACCTTCTTTGCAGTGACTCCCCTACCAGCTGCAAGGCGCAGAGAGCGGGCCCGGGCCTGTCCTCGTCGCAGACCGGCACATGGTAGGTGCTCGGGAAGCACCCCCGGGAAGAGGCGCTACTGTTCGCACCTGGCGAGCATTGGGCGCGCTGCCCTGTTCTATGGACCCGTCTGGGCTGCATTATCAGAGGAACCTGAAGTCCAGCCGTTTCCACGCGGACAGTCACCCAGGCCACGGACACACACAGGACGGAGCGATGTCCGGGCCGCAGCCAGAGGGAGGCCGGGGACACCCCCCTGCCCCCCACCCCCCGCCTCCCGCCGCTGTGGCTCTCTGAACGCCATCCCTCAGCTGCGCTTAGCGGAGCCCCTTCATTTATCTGTGAACCCGCAGGTCCCGAAGGAGCCGCTGGGAGCAGGAGGAGGTGGTCTGTCATCCCCCCTCGCGGTGCAGGGCGCGGGGGTCATTGCATGGCGCCGGACCCTGCAGCCGGAGGTCCAGCCGCGGAAGCCGCAGCCCGGCAGCCCTGGGGACCGCGGGACAGAGGCGGCCCCTCGCAGGGTCAGCCGCAGACACTCCGGGCAGACTCTGCATGTGCAGCCGGAGGGTTTATAATACATGTTACACCTGCGGCCCGGGTCCGACACATGGTTTCTGCTCCCAGATTGGGGGGAGGAGGGGGCGCAGCGGCTGCGGCAGGAAACGAACAGCAAGTGGGTGAGACGGGAGGAGCAGGGGGACCGGGTCACCCAAAGGGGCCACAGTTACGCCCCAGGCGGAGGGGGTGAGGCCGAAGGGGAAGGGCCTGGGGCTGCGGGGGGCTGAGGTGCAGGCCCACAGCTCAGCGCCGGTGCGGGGAGCGAGCGCAGAGGGTCAGGGTGTGAACCTCTCCTAGGAGAACTCAGCTACAGGCAGACAGAGAGCGAGGGCGGTGGGGGGCGGGAGGGAGACTCACAGAGACACGAGGAGAGACGGGAGGAAATGGAGAGGGAATTGGAGAGAGACAGCGACAGAGGAAGGCGGAGGGAGACAGCGCTGATGTGAGGCGTGGCCGGACCTGCTGGGCCCCCTCCCCCGCCCCCAGCTCTCGCATCTGCTGGACAAGGACTCACCCCCTCAGTCCCCGTCCACCTCGGTGGGCACAGGCCTCGCGTCTGAGGAACGCACAGGTGTTCGGGGCCACCCCAGCCTCGGACCCACTGCAGTCGGCCCGCTCGCTCTCCAAGGTCACGGGCCGTGCGTTCTGCCCGTGTGCCAGGGGGCAGTGGGCACAGGCTCCCTGCCCGACCGCCTTACCCACCCGGAGTCCCAACCCTCCTCCCCTGCACGCCACACGGACGCCCACGCCTGCGTCCACAGCCCCGGCCAGGGACCTGCCGTCACCGCCCGAGCATCACAGGGCCGCCCTCTTCCTTCCGGAGAACCGGGGCCGAGCGTCAGCAGGGACCCTCGCGGCCACTGTCCACCCTCAGACCAGCTCCTTCCGGGGCAGCCAGCCTGGAAGGCTGCCCGGGGGCCTCCTCGGGGACCCCCACCTGGGAGCCCACAGAGACCCCGTGAGAACTGCCCGCTGCCCACAGGGACCCGGCTGGGGAGAGGCTGGTGCAGGGAGGGCGCCTCTGAACGCGGTGCGGCTGCTACAGGAAAACCTCAGGTCTCTGAACCTGAGTGACGTTCTGGGCCCACGTCCCCGGGGACAGGGGAGGAAGCGCTGACTCGCCGGCACGGAGGGCTCTGTCCGTCTGTGTGTCTGTGTGTCCTGGGCACCAGTTAGAAGGGGCCGTGGCCCCCACGCGCCCCGGTGCGCCGCTGCCCGGCTCTGCAGATCAGCCGGCCACTCTGGCCCTGCCTTTGGGCGGTGATAGCCTGTGGTCACGCCTCCCAGGGCCGGCGGGGCCACTCTCATAGCAAGATGTGCCCCCCAGGTCCCGCCACCCACGTCCCCAGGGACCACTTCCGCTCATCCCAGGTCAGCGTTCCTCCCTCGTCCACACCCTGAGCCGGTGACCCACGCGGACCTCACACCCGACCCCCTGATTAGAGAGAGGGGGGCGCCTGTCCCTGGAGGCTCGCAGACGCTCAGAGATCCAGGCTGTATTTCTCTCCCCAGTTTCAAACATCCTGCCACGCGTGACGAGCGCCTCGCCACTGACCCTGGCCGTGGGGACATGGGCGTCCAGAGGGAGCCGGCCTCCGGGCGGAGCCAGGGGTCTTTCCTGGGACTCTGTTGACAATGTCACCGGGGTCTCGTCCTGTCCTTCCTTCCTCCCCCTGGCGGGGCACCCTGGCCGCCCACCCCCAAAATTAAAGGCGAAAAGGTGAGTGAGAACCACTGTCCGCGCGCGTGCGCGCTACACGTCATCCCGGAGGATCCCTTCCACGTAGCCGCGTGGGTCCTGCTCCCCAGGGTCCAGGGCCCGGCAGACCCAGCCCGAGTCTTCCTCGCCGCCCGACCCTGGGGCGCCCGCGGGGCCCCTGTCCTCCGGGGAGGAGATGGAGGTGAAGGTGGTGAAGGTCACCCTCCTCCGCTTGGAGGTGGGGGACGCGGGTGGCTCGCTCTTCCCCTCGCTCCTGGGGGCGCCCGCGGCGGGTCCGGACAGCAGCTGCCCGTTGGCGCTGTTCTGGGTGCTGATCAGGAACTTGCTCTCCTCCAGGTCCAGGCCCCTGTCCGCGGTGCTGACCGGCTCGTCCTGGGCGAAGCGGAGGCGGCTCTCCAGCAGCTCCGCCCCCGGGCTCAGCCCCACCCAGTCGTGGGCGTGGCTCAGCCCCTCCTGCTCCTCTAAGGGCAGCTGCTTGCGCCGGTACCTGAGGGCGAAGGTGGCGCAGTTGACCAGGAAGACGAGGATGGCCAGGCAGAAGACGCCCAGCAGCGCGTACATGCCGATCTCCAGGTCGCTCAGCCCCTTGGAGGCCTGCGCCAGGTCGCTCGGGTCCGCGTCCGCGTCGCCATGGCTCCCGGGGAGCTCGGCCTGGGCTGGGGCCCCGGGGAGGTGGGTGGGGACGGTGTGCAGGCTGCCCCGGCCGTCCGAGAGGCTCTCCCAGCCCTGGTTCCTCCGCAAGGACGACCTCTCCGTCGTGGGCGCTCTCCCGCCCGCGGTGCCCACGGAAGCGGACGCGCCGCTGAGCGCCTGGCCCTCCGGCCCGTCCCAGGCCGGCGGGGGCCTGCGGGGCCGCCTGTCGCCGCCCGGGGTCTCCAGGTGCGCGCCCGCCCCCGCGCGTCTGCTGTCGCTGGCGTTGGGGTGGGCGTCGGTCTGGCCGAATTTCACCCTCAGGGCCGCGGTACCCGCAGCCAGCACGCTCTTCCGCTGGGACTTCTGGCAGGACTCGCTGATGACCATCTCCACCCTGACCAGGGCGCCCTGCCCCTCGGATTCCGCCACGAGGACAGGCCACTGGGAGGCTGGGTCTTGGCGGATGGAGACCACCTGCTGGTCCGCGGAGGTGGCCGCCAGGGAGAAGTCTCCCCCCGCGTAGATGTCCAGGGGCGTGACTGCGCCGTCGCTGAACTGCACCCAGCAGCTGAGGGCCGCCTCCTGTGGGGGAACGCGAGTCCGTCAGCGCGGGCACCAGGCTCAGCGAGCACCCGTCACCGACACGGCGGACGGGCGGCATGACCGCAAAGGAAGTGCGTGTGAGCCGTGTGGAAACAGAAGGTGCGCAAAGCTCAGAGCAGGAAAGAAAACTCACTCCCACATGAGGTGAAGCGGAGGAAAACCACCCAATGACGGCCCAGGGCAGGCGGCAGGGAGGCACCCCACAACACGAGGCCACCACCTGCGTGCGCAGCGAGGCTCACCCAAATCCCACGTTCCTCCCAAGAGGCAATGCGTCTCACCTCTGGGGTTCTAGGGGTCTCAATTGTGCAAATCCTGTTAACAGTGTGACCTCTCCTGCACCGTGACCTCACCTGGGTGTGCCCTCACCTGGGTATGACCTCACCTGGGGTGTGACCTCACCTGGGGTGTAACCTCACCTGGGGTGTGACCTCACCTGGGGTGTGACCTGCCCCATGCGACCCTCCCCCTGTGGTGTCCCAGCCTCTGTACCTGGCCTGGCCTCTGCAGAAGCTCCTGAGCCAGGGCTGTGGCGAAGATGGCCCTGTTGCTCCCTGGGCTGAGCTGCAGGGAGAGCGACAGGCCTGCCACCACCTGCACCCCCAGGTCCGTGACGGTGACCTTCTCGTCCAGCACCGTGATGGTCTTCTCAGCCAGGATGGCGTCCGACAGGGGCGACAGGATCTGGAAACAGAACTGTATGACAAGCGGAAACGGTGCTTTCTGGTGTCTTCTTCCCAAAACAGTGTCCTGCCCGACAAGTTCCTGTCTTTTTAAATAACAGCAAGATGGGAGGGGCTGGACAGGGCGAAGCGCGGCCCCTGCCCCACCACGGAGATGACCTGCGTGGCGTTAAAGAGGTGGGGGGCGCTCAGCTGGCGTGGCTATGGGGTTGAGCGTCATCCTGGGCACCAGGTGGTCACAGTTCCATTCCATCTCGGCACATGCCCTGTTGCAGGCTCAGTCCCCAGTAGGGGCCGTGCAGAAGGCACGATGCTCTCCCTCATTGATCTCTCTCTCTCTCTCTCTCTCTCTCCCCCCCCCTCCCTCTAAAAACCAATACAACATATTTAAAATATAAAGAAAAGAGGAGTGTCCTTGCCCCGGGGACGTCTTACCTGGAGGGTGGTCATCCCGAGCTCCTGGCCCACCAGGACCTGCCCCCCCTGCAGCCGGGCGATCCGAGGGTCCTCCACCTGCATGAACCCCTTCACCAGCTCCGTGATGTCCACCTGCCAGTCGGAGCCCAGCAGGTGGGCCAGGGGGCCCCCAGGGTCAGCTGATTCGGCCACAAACTGAGTCAGGACGCGCACCATGGCGTGCTGGTACTGGAGGGCGCAGCCCCGACCCCGCCTCTCCTCATCTTCCTCTTCCTCGCTGTCCCGAGCTGGCCTGGCAAAGGGTCAGTTCCGTTTAGCAGGTCCTGACTCGTTGGGCCAATGGTCATGGGCTGTGTGCGGAGGGCGGGGCTGTGCAGAGGGCGGGGCTGTGCAGAGGGCGGGGCTGTGCGGTGGGCGGGGCTGCACATGGGGGCGGGGCTGTGCGTGGGGGCGGGGCTGTGTGAAGGGCAGAGGGTGGCAGTGGTGCCCCAAGTCGCCCCCCCAACTCGTCCCGGCTGCCTGTTCCCGCTGAGCCCCGCACACTGACTTGGGTCCCTGCCGGGGTCCCCACGGACACGCCACCTGCTGTCGGGGGCGATGGGCACCCTCCAGCCCTTGATCTGGTTGAGCTCGGCGTCCGAGACCTCGATGTGCAGCGGGAGCCGGGGCGCCCACACCGTCATCTCCAGGGGGGCGCTCAGGTGCTGGTAGGTGAAGGTCACCACCGCCCCCACCTTGCCCTTCATCTCCTTCCCGTTTACGAAGACGTAGTCGCAGCGGTCGGACACCTGGGGGGGGGGGGGCAGGAGGCCGTGAGTTCCCGTCGTGGCCCACGGCCCACGGGCACCAGGGAAGGCGTTTCTGTGGTCCGCGTCCTGGGGTCTTTCCCGCGAAGCCTCCTGCCAGGGGCCGTGGCTGGGGCCCAGGACTCGGCTGCCCCCTTCTGGGAGGGCAGGGTAGGTCCCCCCCCCCCCCCCCAAGGGTGGCCGGGCACCCAGCACATCCTGGGCGGATGGTCCCCGCGGGAGCGGCGGGCAGAACGCCCGGTCCCGACCGACCCCTCTTCTCCTCCAGCCCCTGGTCACCCCACTCATTCCAGGGTTCAAGGCTCCAACCCGAGATGAGCTGGAGAAACGCAAGGTCTGGGGGCGCCGCTGAGACCAGCTCCTCCCTCTTATTAAAATATGACCCGTTGCTGCCCGGCCCGCGTGGTTCAGTGGTGGAGCGTCGACCTATGAATCAGGAGGTCACCGGTTCGATTCCCGGTCTGGGCACAGGCCCGGGTTGCGGGCTCCGTCCCCCGTGGGGGGCGTGCAGGAGGCAGCCGGTCCGTGATTCTCTCTCCTCACGGGTGTTTCTGTCTCCCTCTCCCTTCCTCTCTGAAATCAATAAAAAAATATTTTCAAGAAATATGACCAGGTGTGCGAGCCAAGGGATTTATTCGCTCCCACTTCACAGTGCTGACGGCGGGAAGGGCCGTCCTTTCAGGCTCCCCCACCCCTCCCAGAGCCCGAGGCGGAACCACAGCTGACGGTTCCCACTCCGACGGGCACGGCCGGGCACTTATGAGAATTTAATGCCATCTCCTTTTTTCTGCGTAAATGCCGCACGAGTATAAATCTTAGTTAAATATCGCCAATACTTGTGGGGAAATTTATGTTCTCATGTTTTGCTCTTTTTTTTTAAGAGCTAGAGCTAAGGATATTAAAATTCTTCCCCCCCTCCCCCCCTTAGAATTTAGCCTCCAGGAATATTTATTTGCGCCCGTTTCTCCATCTAGGCATCGCCTCTTCGAAATTAGTTTTTATCCTGGGCCGAACAACAAGTCACGTGCACAACAGTGACAGGGAAATGCGGGGCTACGGGGTACCTAGGGCTGTGCCCACGGCCCCTCTCGGCATCTGATTAGATGCTTCGCCCACGGAATCCTCGCTGAGAGTCTGGTGGGGAGGCACCGTCACCCCATTTTCCAGACGACAAACTGAGGCACCAGGTCCCTTCGCTGTCAGGGACGCGTCCCGCTGGCTAATGAATGAGAGACGACTTTACCTCTTTACCTATCTCTGTGGCGTCTGTTAGCTTTTATATGGATACTAGAGGGTGTTTCTATCTCTCTCTCCCTCTCAATTCCTCTCTGAGATCAATAATATATATATGTATATATATATATATATATATATATATATATATATATATATATATATATATATATATATATAAAGCATAATATGCTGATTAGACTGGACGTCCTTCTAAATGACCTTCTGAATGAAGCCAGGGCCGGCAGCCGGGGGAAGGACGGCCTATTTTTGCGCATCGGGCCTCTAGTAGATATATAAAATCAACAAAAACGTTCAGGCCAAACACAATGTATGTGCTGGCTACACATACGACCGGAGACCCTTGAACTTGCAGCCTCTGATGCAGAACACAAGCGAACCTCATGGTATCCTTTTGTTTGGGGGACAGGGGAGAGGGGGATGCAGGAAAGGGCTTGGGCTTTTGGGGCCCGTGAACTGGCCATAAAAACATGGCAACAACAAGCTGACAGATAGTCTCCTCACACGGCCATCGTCCATCACGCCGGAGGCTGGGCCGTGACAGACGGTGATGGCTGCCTGCAGCCTCTGGGCCTCCCTCACTGCAGCTCCGCGCCACCTGCCCCTGCTCGGGACACAGGGAGGCCCTGTACCAGCACACCCCTCCCGCCCTGCCCCTGCTCGGGACACAGGGAGGCCCTGTACCAGCACACCCCTCCCGCCCTGCCCCTGCTTGGGACACAGGGAGGCCCTGTACCAGCACACCCCGCCGCCCTGCCCTGGCTCCGAGCCCCGGGTGCTTCAGGCTCCCGGACTGTGCAGGGAGCCGGAGGCTGTGTCCCAGTTCAGTTAGGCACGGGCGCGAGGGGGGAAACCAAATTCTCTGAGACTCGTTTTTCGTCCGCTTCTCCCTTCCGGTTCCCTGCAGCAGCCGGCGCTCAGCAAAGGGTAGAAATAACAGCCCCGTTCCTTTGCGGGGATAGAGCGACAGCTCCCGCTCACAGGAAGCTGCGAAGGCAGGAGGTTCTTGGGGAAACGCATGTTCTCTTTAGAGGAAAGGGAGGGTATTTGCTGGGGAAATTGTCAGCTTCCTCTGCGAGCTTTGACTGAGGCTTTTTTTGGGGGGGGCGGGGGTCAGAGAACACTGGTCTGTAAATCACAGGTAGGAGCAGTAATTCCTACAGGAAACGGCTCCGGAAGCGAGTTCTAGAGGCAAAGGAAGGGCCCTGTGGCTGGGGAGGGAGGAAGGAGATGGTGACGAGCCTGGGGGGTGCCGAGGGAGAGGGACAGGCACAGGGAGCTCCCTGGCCGGGGAGGCGCTGGGTCCTCTGTCCTCAGGGCTTTAAGGGGGGACTTTCGGGGAGGCCCCAGGGGTCTCAGTGGGAGCGCAGCAGCTCCCAGGTGTGTCCTTCAGGGTCGGGGTCTCCCCTGATTGGCTGGCGGCACCAGGTGCGGCACCGGTGACATCATTCTCACCAGGCAGCACCCCCCCACCCCCCACCCCGGAGGTTCCTCAGTTTACAGACCATCCTCGCGGGCAACACGGCGCCCCATCCCCGTCACCCCCTGGAATCCGCATCCTCACTTTCAGCATCTGCTGCCGTCGCATCCCAGAACCTTCCAGAACCTTTCGGAGCCCCAGTCTCCCCCAGGCACCAGGGTGCAGGGCACGTGTCTGCAGAGCCCACAGCACCCTGGCCGGGCTCACAGGACAGTCACACCCCGTGGGCGACACACAATGGCTCTGGCCATTGTGGGGTCCCCCTGGGAGCAGCCACGTCCCTGTCACCTGGGTCTGGCTCCCCGCCCGCCCCTCCCGGCCTGGCGAGGGGAGGGGGTGGCAGGAACCTCCATGGGGTGCGGGTCCCTGCACCCCCTCCTGCTCCCCAGGGGCTGGGAAGAGCCCACGGTGCTGGCAGGTCGGAGCACCCGCCCTCCTCGGCAGTCTTGCACCCTCTGCTCTTTCTCCCCCCCCCCGCCCCCCACGGCAGCGGGATAAGCAGACGGGAGGGGAGGGGCCGGGGACCCAGGGGTCCCAGCGGGTCCGGGAGCGGGGACACTGACATGGCAGCGGGTCAGGGTTCGGGTTCCGTGGGGACAGGGAGGCGTCACTTGCCTTGATGACATCCTCGTCGGCCGACCTGCACTCCACGGCTCGCAGCAGGTCCGTCACGGCGCCGTCCTCCTCCACCGAGACCACCGTCACCGGAACGGCCACCGCCTCCCCCGTGAGGCCCGCGGTGTTCAGCACCTCCGCCTCCTGGAAGACCAAGCACAGGACCCGGCCGTGAACCGCGACCCCCGGTTCCTGGTTCGATGCTCAGTCACTGAGCCACGCTGGCCGGCGCTGTCCCCCTTCTAATGGGAATGGAAAGGTGTTACCAAGGTTACCTGGCCCCGTGGGAACATGTGATGTTGGGGATAGGGTCGGTCACAGTGCACACAAGGTCCCCCGCCCCCCCCCCCCCCAAGCCCTCGTCCTCTCCCCTTGGCCGTTCGTTCCGCTCAGGCCACACTTTCTACGCGTCTGACCATGTCCCGAGGGTCCCCGTGAACCTGAAGGACAGGCCACAGTGCACGTCTGGGGACGTCAGGGTGAGAGAGCAGCCCTTGGGGTTCGGGGAGGACAGGTGCCACCTGGCCCCTCACTCAGGGCCACTCTCTCTCTCCTCAGCCGGGAGGATTAGGTTCTGGGTGTGAGTCCTCCATCGGCCACTGGTCATGTTAACAGACTGTCCTCCCATCAGGAGACAGTGTGCTGGCCGAGCCTGAGCCTCGTTCCGGCCACATCTCCTCCCAGGGCGAGGCCCGTTTTGGAGAAATGGGGGTGGGGGTGGGAAGGGGTTGCACTCTTTCCTCCTCGTCCGCACGCCCAGCGAGGCGAGCGTTTCCCAGGCCCCCAGCACCGCCGCCCGCACAGGCCGCCTGAGAGGCCTCCTGGCCCCGGAGGCCGGCGCCATCCGTCACTCATTCCCAGTCCGACTGAGCTTCATTGGGAAGCAGGTGCAGCTGCCTCATCGGCTCCGTAGCCGGTGGGTGAGGTGGTTGCAGACCCCCCCCCCCGCCCCCCGGGAGAGCGTGCAGCGCGGGAGGCCCGGCCACGGCCGTTTTGTTTATAAACTCAGTTTTCATTGTGATGCTTTAAAGGTGGCGAGCAGCTAAGCCAGTGAGCCCAGCGGCCCCGACGCCCCAGAGATGTGGTCCAATCAGAGATGTATTTACTACTCGATTAGCTGCCCCAGGAGGTCCCTGGGCCAATGGCACCGCAGCGTCAGACCTGCCCGCAAACACGCACTGAGAGGGGCAAGAGGACCCACGGGGTCTCAGAAGCCACTTCCTGGAGCTTGTGAGTGACGCGTGCGTCAGGGGAGGGGTCCGCCCGACCGAGGGCCCCGCGCCCCAGGCCGCAGCCCCCTCCTGACCCGTTAGGCAGAGGCGTGAACGAGTGGGAGACTAATCCCATGTCACCCCCAAGAGCGGGGTCTTTAACGTGGAATTTCCACGGAAGAGAGGACCCTGCACCGTTGCTGGCCTTTAAGTGCACGGGTGGGTCTGGCGGGCATCCCAGCACTGGGGAGAGGGCGTGAAGGATGGACCCCCACTTCCTTTTTAATCCTCGGCTGGGCCCCCCCGGGTAACAAAACACAAGGTGGAGAGAGAAGGTCAGAGCCCTCGTGGGCAGAGAAGAGGCTAACGGGCCTTGTGAGCCACCACTGGTCTGAGATTTAAGAGACGGGACATCAGTAACCTTTTAAAAATATATTTTTATTGATGTCAGAGAGAAAGGGAGAGGGAGAGAAACATCCATGATGAGAGAGAACCATGGATCGGCTGCCTCCTGCCCGCCCCGCGCTGGAGATCGAGCCCACAACCCGGGCCTGTGCCCCGACCGGAATCCAGTTGTGACCTCCTGGTTCATAGGTCGATGCTCGACCACTGAGCCACACCAGCCGGGCTGTGCGCATTTTTAAAACATGCTAATCCTCGTGTCAGAAATAGCAGAGCCCGTGTTCCAGGTCCCATGACAAGCGACAAGGACAGCGTGTGTGTGTGCACTCAGCATGTACCGGGGACCGACCATGGTCAGCACTGACATGGTTCTTACAGACAATGGTGCCTCCTTCCCAACCGCTACACGGCGGCCTGAGGGTGCGAGTGACGGCCGCGTGTAGGGGCCTCTTCCCACCCTGGGTGTTTGCCCTTTGAAACCGGGGGGCGCCTGCCTGTCCCTTCCCCTACACGGCTGCCCCCCTTCCCCCCATCACCACAGCACAAGGCATGTCAAATTGTCAAAGGCGGCAGAACCGCCCCCCGGCCAGGAGCAGCCAGGAGCAGCCAGTTTTCCGTACACGAAAATGAGAAATTAATTCAACTGGCCCGGAACGGACAGCAGGAACCGACATCAAAGGGCCGCTCCTGCTGCACCGAAGCGCAGTGTGTGGGCCCAGGAGTGGGTGTCTCTCGGATCGCACCCCAGCTCCAGAGGGACTGCTGGAATGCGAGCCCTCTCCTGACCCGGCGGCCTCAGGCAGCTCGGCGGCCGGTGGCCGGGAGCCAGGTCTGATTATCTATGCCGGCAGCCAGCCAGCGCCGTGGACCCGGGACCGCGGAGAGTCCAGAAGTCACCCGTGGACCCGCCCCGGAATGCGCGATGAGTTTTTTCTCTCCTCCACCAGACAACTTCTTAATTATGTTGTCCTGAGGCTAATGCGAGGATGGATTTGCATGCCTCGAGTTCACGCTAATTAGGAGGAGGAAGGGATGCAATTAAGATTGCTCTGGGAGGCGGGGGACGACCGCGCGGGGCTTTAAGCCGGTCGCAGTCCCCCCGCGACACCGGCCCCAGGACGCCTGGCCATGGGTGCGCTCGGCGAGTCTGCCCTCCGCCTCCTGGTGGTGGGGTGACGGGGTGCGACCTTGCAGAGGGGCAGGGCAGAGTTTTTGCTGCTCCCCAGCCGCAGCCTGTCGTCTCCATGTCTTCTCGGTGGACAGGGCCGCGTCTCTGAGTCCCAGGCGGGCTGGCCCCTGAGGCTGTCCCCAGGCCTCGCAGAGTCAGATGGAGAGGGGTCACGGAGAGAGGGGTCACGGGGAGAGGGGTCATGGAGAGAGGGGTCACGGGGAGAGGGACCACGGGGAGAGGGGTCACGGGGCGAGGGGTCATGGGAGCTGGGCGAAAAGGAAAACCATTCCAGACCCTGCAGAGTGGCCGAGCTCACAGACACTGACCCACTATCTCTGTGAACCTAGAGGAGGTGTGTCCAGCAGAGCAGCTGGGTGACCAGTCGTGTGGGGGCGACGTCGCCGTGGGAAGTCGCGCCCCCCCCCCCGTGTGATCTCCTCCAGCATCGAGGTGCCCAGCTCGGTCCTCGCCCCTGAGCACCCCAGGTGCCCCTGCCCGCCTGACCTCTCCGCGGGGTTCCTCCCTCCACTGGCTTCGCCCTCAGCGTCCCAAACAGTACGCGGTGCGATGGGCCCCCTGGGGGCTGCAGACCGAACCCCAGGCGCCACCACCCACTTTTCCTTCCCTGGTCCCCAGGGCGCTCCCGGCACAGGGTCCCCTCCCGTCAGCACCACGGACAGCGCACCCCCATTTCCTCCCCTCCACCTCCATTGCTGTCACCTTCAATCAGCCACCACCGTGTCGCCAGGGTTATGAGAAAGCTCGCCTCGTCATGTTCCCGCTCGTTCTGGCCGCTTTGGGGAACCGTTTTCCCCAGGAGCCCCCTGGCGGCCTGAGCACACGGGGTGCCAGCTCCAGGGGGCGGGGTTGGCGCTGCCCACCCCCAGCCCAGCGCGGACTACAGACACCTGCAGCTCTGACGTCATCACGTCACATGCCCCACCCCCAGCCCAGCACTGACTACAGGCACCTGAAGCTCTGACGTCATCAGGGTACATGCCCCACCCCCAGCCCAGCACTGACTACAGACACCTGCAGCTCTGACGTCATCAGGGTACATGCCCCACCCCCAGCCCAGCACTGACTACAGACAGCTGCAGCTCTGACGTCAGCACGTGATGTGCAGCACCCAGGGCTCACCCGCACCCCCTGTTGTCGGTGTGAGGCCCTTTCAACCACTTCCCACGGCAACAGGTCACTGCCCGTGGCCGTGTCCCCGCTGCTATTCCGTTCACACTGACAGCGCAACGCGCCACCCGTGGGTCCTCGTCGGCGCCTCCGGGCCCCGCGTCTCCGGGCCGGATGGGGAAATCCCGGCGCAGTCACCGAGCTGGGGGTGAAAAGTGGGCCCCACGTGCACAGGGGCCACGCTCGGTCGGTGTCTCGTTCCGAGCGGGACCGCGAGGGGGTGTGGCTGCCCCGCGGGACCCTCTCCGTGCCTCCCTCCCACCATCGCTCTCTCTGGTTTTACTCATGAAGCCGGGGTGCGGCCGAGGGCACCCCCCGCCCCGCGGAGTTCAGTGGCCGGAGGGTGTCCGCCCCTCCGCCTCCCTCACCCCGGAGTCGGGTGTGTGCGCAACACAGGCTCTGAGATGCGGATTCCGCTACGCCCGCGGCGCCACGCGACTGGGGAGCTGGAGCATCCGGACGAATTCATAAAACGGCAGCGGCGGGAAATAAACGCACGCCCACCCCGCCGGCCAAGCAGGAGGCTGCCGCCAACCGGAGCTGGAGGCGACCATCAGGGAATTACCACGAGGCTCAAGGAGCACGCCGGAATCAGCCGAGGTCTGCACATGCAAGGAGCTGCCCGTCTTATGACGATTTTCCCAGAAATGGCGCCCACTGGCTCCTCCGGGGCCCGCGCAAAGCTGGTCTTTTCGGGCCGGTTCGGTTCTGGAGAACGGACGCCCCTGCCCACTCCCCAGGCTGGAGGACACACATCTGGGCTCGGCTTTGATGTGCAAAGCTTGCGCCTTGAGAAATCTACGTTTCTCCAACACTTGATGTCTAACGACCTGCCACCCGTCCGTTCTCGCCCGCCCGGTCACTAAATCAGTCTTGCTTTATGGCTTCCTTTCCAATCCGAAGCCCATTTCGCGAAATTTCCCATTTTTCTCTAAACCTCTGTGAGGTACTGGCGGCACACACGGGGTCAGAAACGCATAAAGAGCCCTGACTGGTTTGGCTCAGTAGATAGAGCGTCGGCCTGCGGACTGAAGGGTCCCGGGTTCGATTCTGGTCAAGGGCATGTACCTTGGTTGCGGGCACATCCCCAGTAGGAGGTGTGCAGAAGGCAGCTGATCGATGCTTCTCTCTCATCAATGTTTCTAACTCTCTATCCCTCTCCCTTCCTCTCT